TACACCCCTACTCTTTTCGAGAAACACCCTGGGATTTTTAATGACCACAGAGAGTCAGGACCTCGGTTTTACGTCTCATCCGAAGGACAGCGCCTTTTTACAGTATAGTGTCCCCGTCACTATACTGGGGCATCAGGACCCACACAGACCTCAGGGTGAGCGCCCCCTGCTGACCCCACTAACACCTCTTATTAAATGACATAAATGTTATCCTTCAAGAGACAATGAGGTGCTGCCAGAACCACTTATAAAAGGTGGAGTAGATGTGCTGAAGTATCTTAGCTTTATTCTAACTTCTCATACGTGTGAATCGTCAGGTACATGAGTCACCTCTGTCAGCTCCTGCAGTCTTTGCTTCAGCGCATCCTTAGACAGGTCCCCAAGAGAATCTGTAAAAACAATAAAACAGAACTCAGAATAGACCTGCAAGACAAAAAGAGCTTATAAACCCAGGAAGGATTATTGTTAATACATTTAATTGTATCATTAATACATTTTAAAGTCACTAATTTAAAAAGTTCTCATTTTTGCTTTGCTATGTTTTCGACCTTTGATCAGTTTTATCTTGTTTATTGAACCCTGTTTTATGCTGCAAACCACCTGAAATGTAGATTAATTACTTTAATAGTGTTTGTAGACATTAAGACAGCCTATATATGACACAGGACATCGGTGTTAGCTTGGGCTTTGGTACATAATTGATTTTAACATTTTCGTGAAAGGTTATCCAGTTCAGCCATTAATGGGAAGAGACTGCAGAGACCTCAGGCGACCAACAGAAATTTTCAATATTAGAAATGAAACTTTTCAAAAGTCTAGAAATTGCTTATTAAAAGGGTCTAGTTAAGCAAATTAGTTGATTAATTTGATTAAAACTTCAGTAATTTGAGTTCAGCTGGAATGAAACGGCTGTAATGTTCATATCAAAAACCGTCAAATAAGGGGAAACAGGGACTGAGATAATTACTTTTAACTATTTTTTTTTCCTGTGGTTAATCATTAAAATGTTAACTGTTAACTGGAAGATCAGGTGTATTTACAGAATACTGCTTAATCCCATTTTAACTCCAGGGTATTTTACATTTACCCTCCAATAGAGAAACAACATTGTAGAAAAACAGCATTATGAGGAAAGCTTTTCAAAACATGACAACTGAAGACTTAAAAGACTGAAATCAGAACTCCACCTGCAGCCCTGTCAGAGGAATAGGGATAACTTCTGAACACTTGAAATAACTGGATCAATGGGGAAAACTGTTCTGTTTGAGAACGAAGATTTTCATCAAGGATGAAAAATTGTGTGTTGGAACCCAACGTCAATCTGACTTGTCACTTTACAATACATCATCTTTCGAGACAACAAATCTTCAAGATGGTCTCAAGAGTCTTAGACATGGTTGAACGGAGTTCAATGAAGAAGTGACAATATAAAGGCAACACAAAGAACTGGATAAATCTGTCAGTGGACTGGAAAAGCAGGAAACAGGTCCCTGTTTTTTTAAGTGTGGCGTCCTGGCCAAATTTCCCATTGGCCCTTATCAATCATGGCCTCCTAATAATCCCCCTCTATGAATTGGCTTCATCACTCTGCTCTCCTCCCTACTGAGAGCTGATGTGTGGCGAGCGTTCTGGCGCACTACGGCTGCCGTCGCATCATCCAGGTGGATGCTACACATTGGTGGTGGTGGAGGG